AGCCCCTTGAGGAGACAAGTGAGACTGTTTCCCAGACACCCTCTCCAAGCCAGGTGTGAGGCCTAATGAGGAGTGAACGATGAGGGGCGGGCAGGAGAGGCTGGGGGTGGGAGTGTGCGCAGGCAGGGCTGAGAGTGAGCCCCACGGGGTGGGGGAGGGGCGGGGCGCAGCGCCAGGACGAGGCCCCTGCAGCGCTCAGGGCCGAGGTCTCCCACCCGGCCCCCAGGTTGCCCTCTGGCCCCGGCGGGACGTCTCTGCTGCAGAGAAGGCGCCAAGCAGGATTCCTCCAAAGAACCCAGACCCCTTCTGACCTCGGGCGGCTCCTGTCCCCATCCACAGTCCAGCAATGGGATCCTCAGCTTCTTCTCGGGGACCAGGCAGATGAGGCACAGCCACAGGGTCTGCAGACCGCCGCCCAGCCAGGGAGCAGCAGAGACCCCCGAGGACTGGGGAGGCCGCAGCCAGCCAGGAGGGAGGGCGCGGGGCAGGGGCCACACCGGGCGGCTCAGCCCGCCACGTCTGCACGCTCTGGGCTCCTGGTCCCAGGGGCAGCCCGGCCCCGCCACCCACGTTCGGACCCCGCTGGTCTCCGCGGTTCCCACCGCCGCGCCCTGGGCCCAAGGCCGGGCCCGCCCGAGCCCACAGCGCCCCCTGGCGGGAGGGTCCGACGCCGCCGCTGAACCCCGCCTCCCTGCGGGACGGGACCCGGACCCTCCCGGGCGCCCCAGCCGTTCCCCACAACCCCACAAAGAGGGTTCTGCGGTCCCCTGTGCACAGGGAAGTTAACTGAGGCTCAGAAAAGCCAGGCGACTTGCCCAAGCCCAACAGCAGAGGTGGGTTGGGGGAGCCGGGGGCTGGAGAGGAGACCCAGGGTGTGGTCAGAGGGGTGGGGAGAGCGAGGGAGCTGGTCAGCCTCCAACACCCCCCAACTCCTCCTACAGCCCTGGCCCGTCTGGCCGGCTCCTTCTGGAAGACACTAGCTGTGGGCTTAGGCCTGGATCCACACCTACCCGAGGACAGGACAGCACCACGTGTGAGCCTCTTCCACCAAGCCCACACCATCTCCCGGGCCCAAGGGCACGGTGACTACCCCGGTGCAGCCTGTCCCTCCCAAATTGTCCCTTGATGCTAAATTTTTGCTTTAATGGCAATGTGTTTGTTATGGACTATTTGTGTTCCTCCAAAATTCGTATTTTGAAATCCCACCCCCCAAGCTGATGGTATCAGGAGAAGGGGGCCTTTGGGAGATGACAGGTCATGACGGCAGAGTCCTCCTGAAAGGGATGAGTGCCTTTAGGAACCAGATGCTCTTGAGCTCTCAAACCCATGTCATGACATAGTGAGAAGACGGCCCTCTACGGCCTGGGGTCTTTCCCAGAACCTGACTGTGCCCGCACCTCATCTCTGATCCCCAGCCTCCAGAACCGTGAGAAATAAACGTCTGTTGTTTCTATTGCCATTGGATCTATGGTGCTTTGCTACAGCAGTCCAGGACAAGACAGTGTCTGTCATTCAAACCTGTATAAAACCCTACAGAACTTGCCCATCTGCCCATGCCCTGGAGACAAGCGCTTGGACTGGAGTGTGCCGGTGCCCACCCTCCAAAGCTGCTCTGTTTTGCAGGTCAGCCTGGGCTGCACTGGGCCAAACAGGAACCAGGAGGCAGATGTCCACGGCAAGAGTGTGCCCAGCCCCAGAGGAGGCCGTCTGCTCATCCTTCACCAAAACTCCCCTCAGATCTGCTCTAGGAAGGGGAAATGAGCAGGAGCAGGGGTTCTTCTGAGATGAAATAGGGGGAAGAAAACCCTGCGGCCTGGGTGGGAGCAGCCTCCTCCCACTGGATCCTCAGGAAACCTCTTTCCAGGGGGCAGGGGAGAGGTGCAGCCATTGGTTAGTTAGGGAGAAACGGTGTGTGGTGAAGAAAAGGTAACAGCCCGGCCAACACACCATTAACTGGCTTCAACTCTCCCCAGGGTTGCAGCCTCCTGGAGGACCCTTCACTGAGGACAGAGCCCAGCCTGTTGAGCAGCACAGGACAAGTGCAAGAACTCAGCCTAAACTCCATAGCCTCCTCCCACTCACGTGCCAATCCCAGAAAAGTCAGCCCAAAAACAAATCCCCAGGTGGCAGGAGCCAGAAACACCTGTCATGAAGATACCCAGCCAGTGAGCAGGTGTTTATTAGGGTCCTTTTTCATTACCCCAGAGACAGACCCAGGGCTGGCTGCGTGCACAGGAAGTAACGATTGCCACATGCATAAATACGTGAAGATGCACATTACGTCAGCACAGAGTCACAAAACACTTAGCCTTGGCAAGAAAACACTGTAGCTAGGCAGCTCCTGTTCTCAGAGACTCCTGCCACAGATGTCACGGAGACAGCACGGGCCTCCCCAGGGACAGTCCCCACGGCCTAGACTCCCCAGAGCTGGAGGAGCAGCCCAGGCTCTGTGGTGAGACGGCCATCACTTCCTGTTCTTGGCAGGAGCCTAAGGTTACCTGGCCAAGGTCTTGATGGAAAAAATGAGTTTTTACAATGTTGCAGGTCTTTTAATAGTTCGTCTGTAGGAAGTGCATTTGCAAAGTCACCAACCTGCAGCTGCCATCTGTAGACCAGGAAGGGTGATTCTCTTGTTGACCACAGCAGGGCATCCCCTGAGGTACAGAGACCCCCTCCTACCCCCACAGTGTTCTCACAGCCGCTACAGCGCTTGCAGTTTGGCTCAAGCAAGCCCTGGAAAGCCCCACCCCCATGCTGGCTCTGCTGTGAAGCCATCCTCTCGCTGGGCGGCAAGTTCAGGCCCTACGCAGAGCCATCTTGGGGCTTGTAAATGAAGCAGGCGTCACCAGAGCAGGACTCCGCTGTGGCCACCGGCTTCTCCTTCCGCACAGCTTCCCCCGCAACACAGCTCCCCCAAAACACTGCACGGCCACTGACCTCCGGCTTCAAGCAAAGGAGAGGCTGTGAGGGGAGCCCTGGGAGGATGTGGAGACCCCCCGGGAGGATGTGGAGACCCCCAGAGAATCCTCTCCCACCCTGCTACAAACAGCAGTCGAGACCAGGAAAACGAGGCCTCTACTTTGTGAACAACAGGCTGCCCATGTGGTCACGCGGCGTCTTCCTCTTGAGACACCTGCCACACACCGAGAAGCAGAGCTCGGTTGACGGTCCACAGCATGACAGTTCATTGCACTGCTGGAGGGAATGGGCCAGGGCCTCCCGTGGGTTTCCTGAAGGGAAAGGGGGGTTGGACCCAGAGCCAAGCTCAGTCAGGGATGACGCCTGCACAGTGCAGCACACAGGAAACCTTCAGAGGTGCGGCTGGCCCAGGACCAGCTCGGGGTCTGCAGCCAGGGACAGCCAGCCCATCTGGACACTCTCCTGGGGTGGCCCTGGCTGCACAGGTGGAGTCAGAACGGGCAAGTCCTCCTGGTGGCGGCTCCAAGCTCAGGGCAAGTCCCACCCCAAAGAAATGCTGCCTGTTGGACTTCCCGGGCAGCGCCAAGCCTGTCCAGCTGCCCTGAGGAGACATCCCAGGGCTGAAGGCAGCTGGAGCCCTGCCATGCAAACAGCACACAGCACGTAGGGTGCACAGGACAACATAGCCGCTGCTCCTCCTCCGGGTGCGCCCACCCAGGGTTCTGCCAACACAGCAGCAGAGAGGCCAAGAGTCACGTGAAGCACGGGCAGGGAGGGGCACGGGCTCCAGTCGTGGCCGTCCAGCAGCACGGCAGCTGCTTCCAGGTAGGTCTTTGTGTCACCTCAGCCCTGCACCAGACGGGCAGCTTTAGTCTGTCTGGGGCCATGGAGGTAGCCCTAATGCTCTGACCTGTCCCATGATATCACTAGGTCCTCCTCTGGGACCAAGTGTCCCTGGCCCACAGGGAAAAGCCCATCCAAGGCTCTGGATGCTCAGGGCTCAGGGTGTGTCAGCCTAGAGAGCAGTGACTTGTGTGAGCTCCGTGTTGGGTGTAGATGGGCTCTGTGGGCTGACGGGCACCATAGGCAGGTCCACGCCTAGTCACGCGGGCCGCGGTACCGTCTCAGAGGTCTTGCAGGCCAGGGCCACATCTTTGGCAATGCTGCGCACACGGTCAGACACCTGCACCTCCCGGCGCAGGGCAGAGGCACAGCAGAACTTGCGGAAGCAGGCCTTGAAGTTCTCATCCAGGAAGGCATAGAGGATGGGGTTGAGGCAGCTGTTGACGTAGCCCAGGGCCGTGCAGAAGCGCAGAATGGCCACGGCAGTCTCGCTGCCTGGCTGCACTCCCAGCCCTTGGACCAGCACAAAGACCTGGACAGGCGTCCAGCAGCCCACGAACACAGCCACCACCACCAGCACCAGCCGAGTGATGCGTCGCAGGTTCCGGTCCTTCTCCCGGGAGCCTGAGAGCAGGCGGACTCCGCGGAGCCTCCGGATCATGAGGCTGTAGCAGACGGAGATGATGAGCACGGGGACGATGAAGGAGAAGAGGAAGATGCAGACGGCAAACACAGGGCCCCAGTAGTCCTGTGGGGCAGGGATCTCCACCAGGCACTCGATCTCTGCAGGGAGAGAAGTGGGGTCAGAGTGGGCCCAGGAGCCGTGGAGGGCAAGTGGGCCCAGAGGAGCCACCCAGGAGCCGTGGAGAGCCTGGTGAGGGGAGGAGGGGACACCCCACTGACCTTCATCCTCGACCTGTGCCGAGCCCATGATGGCAACAGGAACGCCAACAACAGAGGCCAGGGCCCAGATGGCCACATTGACAGCCTGGGCTTTGCTGGATGTGCGGACGTCGAGGGCGCGGATGGGGTGGCAGATGGCTACGTAGCGATCCACACTCATGGCAGTCAGGGTGAAGGTGCTGGTGAACATGTTGTAGTAGTCAATGGCAATGACTGTCTTGCACAGGGCATTCCCAAACGGCCAGAAGCCCAGGAGGATGTCTGTGCCCTGGAAGGGCAGTGTCAGCAGGACCAGAGTGTCTGCCAGGGCCAGGTTAAAGATGTAAATATTGGTGGCTGTCTTCATTTTGGTGTGCCTGCAGAGTAGAGGGAGAAGAAAGGCTTCACTTGGCTATGCCGGCTGGACCGGGCAGCAAAGGGCAAGGGGCTCGTCTTGGCCACTGCAAGCTACACTGGCCCTGAGTCCCTTAACATCAGAGTTCCCATGGGGGCTTGGTAAGTGACAGCTCCTGGACCCAACCTGAGACTCACTGAGTCAGTCTCAGGGGATGGAACCTGGCATCAGACATCTTCACCAGCTCTTCAAGTGACTCTGACACACACAAAAGGATTCCAAGCCTTAAACACGAGTCTACTTTACAGGGGTCAGGGCATGTAGGGTACTAGAACACACTCCAGACTCTGCACGGGAGTGAAGGGTTAGAGCCCTAAGGGAAAAAGCCTGCTCTCCTTGCTTTTGAGTCCCCTCAGAGACCCTTCACAGACTCAAATGCTGACCCTACAGTTGCCAGAGGTTTCTGAGAGCTCCGGAATCTATAAGAACATACCAAAAGGCTTCCAAGTCCACACTGCTATCTAGCAACGGAGACAGAAAATGGTGACACGGGCAGGAGGGATGCTAATAAGGTATGATTGTATCCAAGCACCTGAAAAGGTGCTGGAAAGGGCTGGGAAAGTTGTTGGTGGTTAATAAATTTTTGTTAAATCAGTTAATGGTTGTAATATTTGGGGGGGGATTATGGTGGTGGTGGTGGTGATGATGGTAGTGATCATGGTGGTGACGGTGATGATGGTGATGGTGATGATGGTGGTGGTGACAGAGAGGATGGTGATGATGAACGTAATGGTGGTGATAGTGGTGATGGTGATGATGATGGTGATGATGGTGATGATGAACGTGATGGTGGTG